CGCCCCGACGGCCACGCCTACTTGTCAGCGCGGACATAGATTTTCAACACATCGACACATGGCCGACTCCGCCCATTCTTCAAAGGGTTTGTTGCGAACTTCGAAATTTCATAACTTTTTCAACTTTTTAATTTCACATCCACTCTTTGCACAACGAAGATACTCGTACCCGCTTTATGCACTGGCAATTCAGGCTCCGCCCCCTTGGCCACGCCCACTTGCTTTTGCGGAATTTTGATATTTTTTCAAAATTTTTGCATTTTTGGACTGCTCCATGAAGCCCCGCCCACTGTGAGAGGCTCCGCCCACTTTTCAAAAATGGTGCAAATCGGCAGTATAGAGCCTTGGCTTGCATGCTAGGTCTCGTCCGTCACTCGGAACAAATAAATCAGGCAAAGTTTGTTCCGAATGACCAGCAATACCCTAGCCATGCAAGCCAAGACTCTATACTGCCGATTTGCACCATTTTTTAAAAACGGGGCGGGGCTTCCTTGAAGTGGGCGGAGCTTCTCAGTGGGGGGGGGGATGATGGTAGGAAAAAACGAATATGAGCCTGACCCAGGGCGATGAGGATTTTCGCCTATGTCTATGAGGAGAAGAACCTCGTGCGGACGTGGAGGGGACGAACCAATTACTTTGAGCTATTTTGTTTGGGCTTGAAATGCCCTTGGCAAAACCCTACACCGTCAGCCACAGCATAGGGATAAGTAAAAGGCCCCGTCTTACCGGAGTATGAGTATGTGACAGGACAGTACAGATACGCCGCGGTGAACGTGACAAGCGACACTGCGCGCGCGAAAGACGAGTCGTTATCCTATCTGTTTGAATGTAAATATAAAGGGACAGCTTAAATTCAAATAAGTTTCGCTGCACCACTCAACAAACTGGTGCACATGGAGAACTTGTCGCGCATCGCTGCATGATACGCGGCATCTTATGATTGTCTTGCTTGTCTCCCTCGGAGAGCACCATAGAAGGTCAACCCCCCCCCTCCCATAATCAACGGATCACTTTAGTGCAACAAAAACTGTAAAACTTACAGGCAAAAAGTTGTCAGCAATGAGTGATCGATACACCGGAAAAATGAGGGC